ATTGTAAACACTGCAAACACAATTATACATGAACTAATATCATATCTGGAAGACATCTAGAAGATTTGCCACAATTTTGGCCAAAAATCGACGACCTATGCTCACTCTATGGCTCTCTCATCACGGAGCAGGATCGCACATGGCAGATGAACACATGCAGGAGGGGCACGATTCGAACCGGAAACGCACAGCGGCGTCCAAATTACTCTCTTTCAAACCGTTTAAAAGTTATGGGTATGCATGCCAACATCAGCCGCAGGTCACGAGAAAAATAATTGGGTAAAAAAACTTACGTTTTGACGGTTTTGGCGATGAAAAACGGATTTATTCGAGCCGATTTTTGCACAGCTCTGCCCGCCATGTTCTGCTGCATGTCTGTGAGTGAGATCAATGCGCTGGCGGAATGAATCACAAAATGACAGACGATTCTGTGGGGTGGAGCAATCCATGTAGAGAGGGGGGTTCGCCCAGCATTTTGCGATTTTTAGTCAGTAAACAGACCCGGATACGATCAAACACCCCTGCATGGCTCCCGTTGGACTATCCCGCATCTAAAAATGTCTCACACGAATAAATCGGCCTTACCAGGGTCACATAGACACACATTATGAGCCATTTATTGTTATGAATGACAGATATGACACATCATAACTGCTCAAAATTATTCAAAATGGTGTGAAACTGATTTATTAGGATTATTGAACACTCTTAGTGATAAGAAAAGTAAATATATAGTTAATATTTAGTTATATAGTATATAAAATTAGTATACAGCAATGCAACAGCTGGTTCCGAAAATCAAAATTTAGATTTTTATGACCATTTATGCCGGCCTGCTTCACTCAATCGAAGTAAAATATGTTGTGGGGACATATTTTACGTAAAACGTGTTGTTCTATGACTGTGGCGTAGTTTTAGGCTTGCAGCTGCATTATTTTAAAAAAAAAAAATGTTCAATACAAGTGCTTTTTTTCAGGCGAACCTAGAAATTTTTCAATTTGAGCTGTGCCATAAGTGTATCAGTTATTAACCAGTAACATATACACAATATTTACACAATTCAACACATCTCACAAGTGTTACCAGTATTCTTAAATTATTAAAATAGACCTTGTAGTTAGAGCTCGGGACTCTCTTGAGTATGGCTATGCAATTTTCGAGCAGAGGCCTAAAAATAGGGCTAGGGTCCTATGAGTTAAAAGAAGCTTTGGGTGTGATACTGTGGGTTTGCATGTGCCTCACACATGTTAACATCAGTGCCAGTCTTTGCAGAAAGCTAACACAACAATAGCATACTGTTTAAATGAACAGACTATGATGAGCTGATTACGTTAGGTGAAGAAATGAAGCGAAGACAATGGACCACAATGGACTAACGTTCAACACTAAAATGAGTTTGATCTGGTGTTAATGTTGCTCCTGTGATAACACACATGTAACGTTATTGTTAGCGTTACCTCAACTGTTCATCGTCTTGAATACACGTAGGTGATTTCTGGTCCGCTCTCGCTTTTGATAGTCGTCCCGTTTGCGGTCCTACAGTCGGTTCTATAAGAGCACAAATAAACACAAGTTAGGTTACTAACGTTACATCTTAACACTGTAATTGGTGATTAACTTTATTTATGTTAACTTGCTATGCTGTTAGCTAGCTAACCTTCTAAGGCTAATTTAGCTCGAGCTAGCTAACGTTACAAAGCTAGCTCCACCAATATTACCAACCCGATGTAATGAAACAGACCAAGTGAAACATTATCTGAGATGTTAACAGTTCAATAATCATAAAGACAAAAGAAGTTACCTCGGCTCCTCGGTTGATCTCCACATGGCTCTGAAGGATGAGCTGAAGCTGTTGTGTCCAAAGTCACGTTCAGGAGCAGTCGCTCACGTCTCAAAAATGACTTTTAGGCAATAAACAAGTATTTGCTCGTCGTCTTGAGTAGAGAACTAACAAAACATGAATTTAGATTTTTTACAAATCTGCATCAGGATGCAATTATTACGGCATCATTTGTATCCATTTATTGCAGTTAAATCACATCAAAATCTGTTTATTTTGGGTTCATACGTGATGCCAGCTGAAGCCCCCCTAAAATGTTCTTCAGCCCCCCCCAAATAATTTGGCATTATTGCATTAACATTAAAAAATATTTTTTTTTTTTGGTGATGTCATTAAATTAAACTATTGTTTCTCACATGGACAAGTTATTTATAACTCTAACATGCTACATATCTGCGTGCATTCTGGTTTGTATGTTTTCTCCATCTTAAAATTACAATCCAATAGCCTATCATCATACTGAACGATATAAAGTTGACGCTGTCAGGTCCATTCTCCATCCATTGTGTGCGGTCCCTTTAAGAATTAGAATTTGGGAGTGACGCGGATATGAAAGCTAGTTTATCCGTCTTTCCTTTACAAGTAGGAAAATTATTTCTCTCTCTTTATTTGAGAAAAGTTCATATTTGTGTTGTCAAATTTCACTATGACCCTGAAATTTTGTCTCTTGTGTTATCATATACTGAATGCAAGTAAAACTACAGAGCAAAATCACACTCTTTCTGATTGAACCAATATATGAACTGTCTGAAACAATGGATATCCGCGGCCCCAAATGGGCCCCGAAAATAATTGCCGCGTGCTTCGCGCGCACACATGCCACTCCCCTTGGGGCTAAGCCCCCCCTTTCTTTGTATCCTAGAAACGCCCCTGCGTGATGCAGTAAACCAGACGACATGTGGCTTACTAGATACAGTGAATACAGCCTCCGGATGATTCGTCACAAGAATAGTCATGTTTTTAAGTTTTCTTCAGTATCACAGTGATGTTTGTCTTTACATCCATGAGACTCTACTTCCTGTTTCCCACCAGTTTTAAACTTTGGCCTTTCTTGTCTTTTTTAGTCCGAAGAAGCCTTTGTTGCTCTCCTGGTTCCTGTTCCTGCTCGTTCTGGTGCTCCTGGTCTCATGTTACATCCTGTCCAGCAACTCTCTGTCGCAGTGGGACAGCCATCCCCTCCAGTACTACCACAGGTTTCTCAACCAAACCCGTCGGGTTAATCTACCTCCTCATCGTGTCCATCCCAAACACAGAGTCAAACCAACGGGAATGTATGAAACCACAGAACGCCCTACCGTACCGCCGACCGTGGCCCCTACAGGTGCTCGGTTCCATCAGGCCTACCCACGCAACTACCACTTCATCATGGACAACCAAGAGGTATGCGAGACCGAGACTCCTTTCCTGGTCCTGATGGTTCCGGTGGCACCGAAAAACGTGGCGGCTCGGGACGCAATCCGGCAGACGTGGGGCAAAGACAGCGTGGTTCAGGGCCAGGTGGTGCTCACTCTGTTCATGCTGGGCCTCTCTGGAGGAGCTGATGTGCAGGAGAAGCTCCGACAGGAGAATCTCCAGCGCCGTGACTTGATCCAGAGCGACTTCATGGACACGTACCTCAATCTGACCATCAAAACCATGGTGATCATGGACTGGCTGGCCACTCGCTGCCGGTCGGCCGCATACGCCATGAAGGTCGACTCGGACATGTTCCTGAACATCGACAACTTGGTGGTCATGCTGCAGAAGCCGGGCATCCCCAAGGTGGACTACCTGACAGGGATGCTGATGTGGAACAGGCCAGTCGTCCGTTCAAAGGACTCCAAGTGGTACGTCCCGGAGGAGATGTACCCGGAACCCCAATACCCCACCTACACTCTGGGCATG